GTATATATTAAATTTTCAAGTAGTCGTACACTTTCGTACAGTTAACATTTTCGCTGCAAGCTGCGAAAATATTTATATAACGTATACGTGTAGCATTCCTCGAAGAAAGTGGAACATAAAACGTTGCTCTTTGTCATTTATGAAAACGACCGCGTCGGCCGCTGCGTTAAAAACGCGGCTTAACGCTAGTAAATGGCAGTTGCATGCGTTGCGTTGGGTATAAACGGACGTATATACAGCTGCAGTGTCATCATCTTGCTGTGGGTCTTGTTGTACGGAAACGGAGCGTGAAGTGTCGGAGGTTCGGAAAAGGAGCGAGTTGCTACTATGCCTCAGCGAGAACAAACGAAAGTCACGTTGCAATTAACGTTGCCTGCCTGGCCGAGAGAATCCGCAATGTAGCCTCTTACACTAGCCGATTTCGTCGCGTTCGCGTTTATTGCTCATCGATGTACCGAGTAGTATCGGGAGCATTTCGTGCAGCGTATTCGAAGCCAGGTCGCATGAAATCTCCTGCTGTTATTCTCGCAAAAACGTTCGTCTACCGTCGTGTCATCCTTCGTCGTTATTCTCGACGTTTCCATCCTCGTTTGTATCTTCGTTGTCACCATCCTCAAGTGCCTTCTCTCTCCCTCTCATGCGCTTTTAACTCGCTATTTACCGACTTCAATTGCGCGAAAATCAGCGTACGCATCGCAGAGTGACGTACTAATACGTTTGTATTTACGGTAAGTTTCAGCGTGCAGCTCTCTTAAAGTCACACAAATTCGTTTACCCCGTGTCGTATTTTTTCGCACGTAGAATTTTTCGCTACGAGACGATCCACCTACGTTCTTTCGTGTTTCTTGCGCATTGTTTATTTGTTGATCGCTGATTCGTCATGAAATCGTGATCTGTGACTCTCTTCACGATGTTGTTCCGCAAGATTTTTTCTCCTGTCTGTTACTTTTCCGGTTCGAACAATTTGCGAATGAGACATCGTTGAGAAAATTTGATAAGTATCACGAACCAAGCAAACGTGGAGCAAACATTTTTTTTTCTAAGAGACAATAATAATTGACGCGCACGCGATAAATGGTTACGCGATCGATGCGATGTTCTTTTTTCTTCTTTTTTTTGTTTTTCTTTGCGAAAATGAAAAAGTTGTTTTCTCCTATTAATTGGTTTAGACGATATGTGTGTAAAACGTATACTTGTGTACACTAATTGTCTTGCT